TTCCTTTCGAGCCTTCCCAAACACCCACGAGTTTTTTTCTACGTAATAAATTAACTTAACAAATTATCAAGTATTGGTTGGTATACTATTCTGCCGTTATAGTTAAAAACGCCAGCAAGTGCAAAAATGAGGTTTTCATTATTTCTTGATAACGTAATGGCGCGAAATCGGAATTTTTAGATAAAAATACAATATTTTTATAGATTTTTAGATTATAAAAGAAAACAGTTTGCAGTAAGTGCAAAATTGAGCTATTTTTGCTATTAAAATGTAGTACCTACCGTATGATAAGAAAAACGCAGTAAGTTCAAAGCAGTTACTGCAATCTTTCGTAGTATGTGTAGATACTGCAATTTGACTTAAACGGAACGTTGTTGTAGTTAGGAACGTTGTTGCAATTTTAGTTTTAACTTGTTTAGTGATTGCAAGCTGAATTGCAAACTGCACATATTGTTTTCTGGCATTAGTATATTTTGATTAGGGTTACCAGACGTCCGGATTAATCTAGACATGTCTGGATTTTCACTACATCGGGTTGAGTCTAGGCGGATTTTTCTTAAGCGTCCGGATTTCAATGTTCTATTAAAAATTTCGCAATAATGCAAAATAATATATTAGTTTTTATAAATTTAGTTACTTAAAAAATCGTCGATAGATGCAGCTATGCATATTCATTGTTTTACTTTGTAAGTTTTAAGTTTTGAAAGTTATAAATGTATTTTTTGCTCTTATAAATAAAATAAAAATGATAATTATCACCAATCAGTAGGTAATGTAAAAAATGTTACTTCGCTGAATATTTATGCCGTCCGGATTTTGTCCGGATTTTTGTGAAGGCTTGTCCGTGGTAGACAAGTTTTTTATCTGGTAACCCTAATTTTGATACGTCTTTTTTAAAATATAATTGTTAGATACTTACAATTAATTAGATGCTTATAATTATAATAATAGCTCCCGTATATAGCGTTTAACGCCTTGGGAGTAGCAAGGTACAGCTTGCTATACTCTAGTATATATAGTATAGCAAGATGCTTATAATTAATTTAGAAAATTATAATATATAAAATTACATATTAAAAAAATGCCTAGATGCTGCATTCCCATTTAAAATTCAGATAAAGCAAATATTTCCAACTGCAGTATCTATAGGTATGTTAATATTATTTTTTACTAAAATAGACTTTTATGTTAAAGTAATTTTGTTATATGAAAATAATCAAATTCTACATTAAAAACACACGAGATATTTACATTATCTGCCAATTTTTTTTAACTCTTTAACTAATAATTAAGTAAAATATGCTTTACTGTATTTTGGCTTCAAAACTTATTAAAGAAATTATTAGCTTTAAATTGCAGTAAGCCCAATATTTTTCAAATTTAAGCACGTATCACATTTTTATGTATATTTTTAATTAAATATGGCAAAAACTAACCACTACGCATAAAAAAAATCATATTAACTTTTTGGTCATAGTAAAACCTCTCTTTATTGATTTCTCGAAACGTCATTTTTGCAGATACTGAATTTTAGATTATGAAGGCACTATTGGTAAAACAAGTACAAAATACATGTATCTTTTCACAAGCTTTTAATTAACTTCACATGTCAAATCTTGCATCGCAACGCGTTTTTGACAAACTTCTCTTTAACCGATTTCAATAAAATTTGGTATACGGATGGAGAGGATTGGTGATTTGGTGAATATTATTACAAAAAAACAGCTCAACTACCTTTACCCCCAACCCCTCAATAAAAAACACGTTTTTCAACGACTTCCCGTTAACCAAATTCAATAAAATTTTATATACGGTTATAGGATTGGGGGTACTTAGAATATTATAACAAAAAAATCAACTCGCCCATCTCTCCAATTTGTCAAAAAAGTGTCAAAACGTCCGTTATCGTATGAACGGGTCCGTTGACGGGCTGAAGTAAAATATTTACGGATGAAAAGTGGCGCGAAAACGCTATGACCAATCAGAGCACCGTCGGACCAACGTACCAACGTATAACGGATGCATGAAAATCAAGCTTTATCCGGTTAAAACGCGAATTAACAAACGCAGTCGGTTAATGCTAAAAGATACAAATATATTTTAAAAATATTTGCAATTTATCCGGTTAGAACGCGAATTATACAACATGATTGATGAATATCCGTTGACACTTGGCTATCTCGCGATTTAGCCGAATAACATGTTAAGTGACTAATTAATTTCATTTACAAAAAAATATAAATACTATTTATTTTGTAAACTTAAACTAACAAATCTTTGCCAATCCAGCAACTTTTTACAGTCTTAAAAATAAAACAAAAATCAGGCAAATATGCGTACCTATCTTAACCACATATATTAAGTACCCTATAACCGAAAAAAAAAACGGCGTCAAGTTGGCTGGGAAATGACGATCGATGACATTTCCCATATAATTTTACATATAAAATGACAGCGATCTTCATTTGATAGCCATCGCTGACGCCGTTTTTCTCGATCATACGGAACTTATTAGTACAGGATAGGCTTGAATGACATAACAGATTTTTTAGAGGCTGTTTTTTGCCTGATTAATACAATTAATTATTTTCTTATAATTGTCACCGTTTGAGTGGCCGGTATTAGCACTTTTTGTAACTGCGATTTTAAAAAAGTTTTTATCAAAACGCATCTTTAACTTTTTTAAGCTTTCTACAATACGATCGAAAAAACGGCGTCAAAGAGGCCAACTGCTGATAATTCTGGCGATGTCATTTACTTAAACCGTACTATTTTTTATTTTTTAATGGCTCTCACTGCCAGTTGGCCTCAAGAGGATTGTAATTTATTTTCATATTGAGTAAAAATGATTTTCAAATATTTAAAAATTCGAGAAAAAGCAATTTTTTTAGATTCGTGTGATTTTAAACGTTCTATCCTTTTTAACTTTCTATAATTGGTATTAATTTTTGACAAGTTTTATGTGAAGTTTTAGTCGTCTAGAGATTGATCTCGCCAAAATTATCATTCCCCAATTCATTAAAAATGATTTTGACATGGATTATTATAAACATCAATTTTTAGTTTACTTGACAGTTAACTAAAAATAAAATTTATAATGACAGGTTTACAAAATTATTTTTTAAAACTTTGGTAAACTAAAAACTAAAAAACTTAAAAATAACTAAACTGAATATCATTAATAATAGTCAAAATCGAAATAAATGAAACATGACATTTTTGTTTATTCCTTTTTTGAACACCAATATTAGTAGCAAGCGGAGAAAAATCAAGGGAATCGTTACAATTTACAGAGAATCTCGTCTAAAGTATAAGGAGATGGGTAGTCAAAGTGGTAATCTTCAATGTCGTGAAGCTCTCTATACTTACACAAAATAGATGAAGGCTCATTTTCAGACAGTCCATAATATCTATTAATTACAATTCTAAAAAAAATTCCTAACAAAACCAAGCAGACAAACATTTTGTCTACAATATTAGTATGATGCATAATTAATTTTGCCACATGTGTAGCAGTTTCCAAATCTATAAAAGTTACGAAATAATCCCATTTCAAATGTTTTAAAGGGTCCTTTGTTTTAATATACCTAGTACACTCATCATTTGTCTCTCGATTTTTATAGATGTTAATTAGAAAATCTTTATAATGTATTACGAGAAATTTTAACTCGGTGTAATTTAATCTAATTTGCTGGTCTTCTTTTGTGCTTTTAAAGGGATCTTTTTGTCTTCGACATAATGGACAAATATATAAATCGGTATTTGTTTCTAACTGTTCCAAAGATTTTTTATCGTTATTTGAGCAATAATTGCTATAATGAAGGAGTCGTTTACAAATATCACAACTGACATAAGGCTTTGAAATTTTTACACCACAAACTAAACATTGATCAAATACGTTATTTGAAGAAGTTAACAAAATATTCTGTAAAGTAATTCTAAAAGCCTCAGGATTAAAAGAATCGCGTTCGTCGTTCAAAAAACACTGGTTTATATCGGGATTAACCCATAATGCCATAATGTAATAAATTACATAAACACCACAATTATGGCTATCTTTTTGTTTTGGAATGTGTGGGAGTTGTTCTACCGTCCACTTTCTAGCATTTAATCTTTCTGTCTTATGTTGTTGCTCCCTATAAACAAAAAACTGTCTAATATTTTTAAGAATTTCCTCTCCAGAATGCATACTACCAGGATCCAAAATATAAATTTTCTTGTCCTTTAAACTTAATAATACTAAGGACCAGTGGTTACTAAATACATGGTGCGGTAACAATATATAATCTATGCCTTCCAAGGATTTAAAAAGCGGGGAAAATTTGTAATAGTCTTTTATACATAAAGGATTATTAAGTATAATAGAAGAAGAAATGGTATCGACATAATACATATTGGGAATAGCTTTAAGAAGGCTGAAAGCACTGCAATCGATGACATAGTCGGTAAGCCACCGGTCCATAGTTGAGAATGTACTGATGTCTGTGTCCAGTTTGTTAAAGTGTGAGACCAGTGTAACAAAATCTGAGCTCGTTAGATTAATTGTGAGATCCATATATGAATAATTTCCGATTTTATAAACGATAGATCTTGAGCCATTTATATAGTAGTCTTTATTGAATAGTAACCCATTCTGAAGGGAAAATTCAGACGGTTTTTCAGTACCGATATTACTACTTATTCCACTTTGGCGGAAACGGAGCAAGGGTGGAGGTTCATTAATGGGTTGTGGTGGTTTGTTTCCGGTAGCAGCTTGAACAATGGGGGGGTTTTTAAGAGACAGTAAGTTTTGAAAAGACGATGCCGATGTAGATGGTAGAGGTATAAGCGGTGGTAGGTCGTGTAGTGTAGGAGGTTTATTAATGGGTTGTGTTGGTTTGTTTCCGGTAACAGCTTGAACAATGGGGGGGTTTTTAATAGACAATAAGTTTTGAAAAGTGGATGCAGATGTAGATGATAGAGGTATAAGCGATGGTGGGTCGTGTCGGGTAGGAGGTTCATTACTGGGTTGTGGTGGTTTGTTTCCGGTAACAGCTTGAACAATGGGGTTTAATAGACAATAAGTTTTGAGAAGAGGATGCGGATGTAGATGATAGAGGTATAAGCGGTTGTGGGTCGTGTCGGGTAACGATTTGCACAGGGGGGGAACTTTCAATGGATGAGAAGTTTGAAAAATTTGTTGTATCATCAGTATTACGGTCCCAAAAATGAAGATTACTATGCAGACCTTCTGTAAAATAAACCGCTTGTCGCATAAAATCCTCGGTAGTAAAACGGCCATCTGCTAGTTTGTCCCAAGCTTGTTTCAATAGAGAGTGAAATAGTGTATTTTTTGAGGCAACTCTAAATACCTTTTTGCCTCTCTCCAACTGCTCAAACTCCAAAATTGCTGTTTCTTGCAAATCGATAAGTGTATCTGAAAGAATAAAAAATTAAGATTTTAAATAAAAACGAATAATAAGACAAGTAATGGGTATACGTATACAGGTAAAATACTTAATTTAATCTATAACACCTCCAACATACAGACACTACTTAAGACACGGCAGATACCCACCTATTAAATCCCATACATTTGGATGCCTAACCACTTTACTATTGAGCCTCCGATGATAGGACTCCATAACATTGTTTGTTCTGTGCCTCTGCTGAAACACACTGAAGCGTTCCGGTGTAATTCGACCTATCCAGAAATTTTTTACATACTTAAGGAGGTCCCCAAATACTTTTGCTAAGCCGGCGTCCTACAAAAGAAAATTACAAAATATAAAATATAAATCAGTTAAGTACGTCGCCGTCGTATAAAATATAAATATGTAAGAGCAATCACCCTCAAAGGTGCATTTTACTTGGCAAGGATTCATTGGATAAGACCGTCGCGTCGGCGTCACCAGCCACGCTCTTTAGTCTTAACCACGTGTTAACCTTTCATTGCTATTATTTTAGGCTTTAAGGGATTATATTTATGACCTGGGAACCCAAGCTTTTGAAATGTATTTTAACTTAAGGGATGAGAGAAGTTTATAGAAAAAAACAGAGACTTTTTTATACGGCGGCGTCTTGAACGCAAGGCTGCGTTACTTGTAATTATTATTTTATAAAAATCGTGAAAAATAGATATTTTTATTGCAATATTCCATGTATTCTTACATAAAATGTATCTCATAGTTACCTCTTCTAAAGCTGGTAATATGCCTGCAATCATTTCGGCAGGTAAAAGCGGCAAAGCGTAATACTTTCGTAATAAAAGCTGACCATTTTTGTCGTTTTCAATACGCGTTACTATACCTAACGCCTTGGCTTTACGGAACACAGCCTGTAACATATTAACAATAAATACAGTGTCAGTACTTAAGCCAACAACGCTTGGAAATCTTTTTGTAAAATTTAATTATGCGCGTGTTAGTATGGAAAATAATTTGAGAACCCTCTCACATAAGGGCTAGTAAATACAGTCACAACCCTTTTCCGGGCAATGTTGAAATTTGTGTTACCTTCAATTAAAATAAAACTTCGTCTAACTGGCTTTTATGTTTAAATTGCTCATTCCCTGTCAACTTCTGAAGAAATTAATTTTTACAAAAAGTGTTCGATTTGCTGTCACCTTAGTGACGGCCATGACGGCAAAAATCTGTACCTGGCAATAATGAAAAAAACAGCCATGTGCCGTTGTCTGTGGATGAATGCCAAGGAAAGAATCAACCAAAGCTGATTCATAGTCCGTCATAACGTTGTCATTCACAAAGTTTATGAAAGTGGCCTTAACATAGTTAAATACAGCATCATATAATGGTTTTGTCCTATTTTCCATAAAAATATGAAGTAAGGGAAATGCCTAAAATTAATAATAAAAAACATAACTTATTAACATAGTTTAACGTTTATTTACTTACGTGATCCATACATGTCGCAAATATTGTCAAAATTTGTGAGAAGTTAGGCCTGCTTGGTACTGATTTAAAAGTGCCGTCAATAAAAACATACTGCGCATTTTTAAACTTCTTAATAAATTCGGGATTGCCAAAAATAACCGCTGAATTTCCGTTAATGGACGACACAGTGCCAGAAAAAAAAAGGCCCTCCATTATAAAGGGTATATTTAGGCCACTGTCCAGTACTTAAAATTTCACCAAGATGTTCTAAATTGTGAGGCACACTTGGAGTTGTTAAACGTCTCCACTTCGACATTGAAGACCTTACAGTATTATAGGGTAAATACCAAGCAGCGGTCATAAATCTAAAAAGTTAGAATGGCAAAGTTGGTAAAGTTACCTACTGCAAATACAAAACGTCGTATGCTTACTTCTTTGCAACTTTTTCATAAATGGTTTTCATTTCACCCCTTTCCCTTAAGCAAGCCTCTTTTAACGCTTTTTTAAAATTCAGCTGCCCAATGTAAGACTCAGGTGCCGCATGATTATGATGAGCGTTTATCATTACAATGTCAGTTTGCTCTTCCGTTATTATCAATTTTGCTGAAGCCTTACAGCCATATTCCCTATTACTTTTACAAACTAGGTACCTAAAGAAAAAAATGTAGGTATTATAATGTAGGACTTCTAATGTCTCTGGAAAAATAAAAAAGGCGACTCCTTACTTCATTTTAAGGCGAAAATGCAGCATAGATTTTGTTTGTTTTTTTTTGAACTGGTTTTTTAATAAATAATTATTTAATTATTTAATTAATAAATAATAACAATAATTAAATAATGGGGTTATTTTTAATTGAGACGAAAAAAAAATAATAATGAGCGGCCGGATTGCACAAAGGCCTTAGCGCGTGGTCGCGACCAGCCTAATTAGGTAATGAAATGACGACGCGACGCGCCGATTTAACAAAATCGATCTTCAATCTAGCATCATTTCGTTAATAAATATAGAATCGTTTTGATTTTTGCATAGAAATATTCATGAGTCTTTAGCGCTTCCAATGAGAAATTCAGACCTCTCGGTTTATATTTTCAGCAGTAACGAGTATAAATAAATAAGGCGTTAAGTCCGATTCTTGCCTTTCTCAATGCACGTGTAGCTTCCGATAGCTTTGGTTTTAGAGTTTAGTGTCCATGCTGCTGTTTTACAGAAAAAAAAAGAATCTGGCCAATAACCTAAGAACAAGAACATTCAACATTGTAGTTATGTGTATGTAGTTATAAAAGTACCTGCTCCACATTTTATAAATATTTTCAACATTATTTCAGTGTTAATTATATTAGAGTGTTAATATGAAGCATCATTCGAAAAGTGGTAGCATCTATAGGAATTACAGGAAGAGGGCTTTAACTAAAATACACAAATATAGTTTAAAATCATGTGGAGCTTTCTTTATTTTATAAAATAAAGTAACAGCTACAGTGCGTATACACGACCAAAAACTTTGACACGACTAAAGACTTAAAGACTAAACGCAACTAATACAAAATACGCAGAGCTCGAATTTTTCAGTTCGATATATATTTTGATGACAATGCGCTCCTTGTGTTTTATTCCTGACGCACGCAGGCAACGCGTGTTTTAATGTTTATATTTTCTTTTGTATAATAATCGTTCTGGATATGTAGATATATCCAATACATCTTTCTTATTTTAAATGGGACATCCAGTATATTATAACAGTTTTGGAAACTACTTTCATATCTCATAATTTTTCTATTTTTCTAACCTATATCCAGTGGCGGATACAGAAATGGGGCTCAGGGCGCCCCCCCCCTGAAATCTATAAATAGTGTTAAATATTAGACTTTTGGGTTAAAAATTGCGCCCTAAAAAGCATATTTATTCTACATTACTTTTTATTTGAGCCCCCCTCATAAAATAAATTCCTGTATCCGCCCCTGCCTATACCTATCTCTAATAGTTTTTGAGATAAAAAATAAAATATGTGTAAAATTAACAAAAACATGATCATGAATAAGGATTGGCAAAATGATGAATTAAACATTTTTAAAGTTAAAGTTTGGGTTATAAGTTAACGGAGTCGATAGCAAAAATATTGTCAAGGTGTATTACTGGTTGCATAACTGCATACTGCTAAAAATCCTGGCGCATTCGCCAGAAAGTAAAGAAAATTATAGAATTCTTTAGAAAAATCTAGAAACAACCGCCAGGGGGTATATAAGGCCCGCGCTTTGACAGTTGGACAAGTTTTGAAGTTTAAAGTTTGAAGTCTGAAGATAGTCTGAAGTTTGATAATACCGCGAAATACCGTTAGAGTAATAGTAGTTGCATAAGTTGTGTTGTAAATAGTATAAGTTGTGTGTACAGAGTGAAACAAATAAATTCGTTAAGTATTTTATCGTGAGTTTAAATAGTGGACCCACGGAATCCGTAACAATATTATTTATTTCCGTTTCCGTTTATAAAATTGCTCAAATCTTTGCTATTTTAAACTGAACCCTATGTATATTATTTAAAAAATTAAAAGACTAATAAAATTGTTTTTCAACGATATATCATGTTCCCTATACCTAAACCTTCCAGTTTCTTAAGTAGAGCTATTTCAAAATTAATAATTCTATTATTATAGTTTCATGTCAAGAATTTCGTTACCATGACAATTTTAGAAATTTAGCACGTAAACTCTAATTGATACTTATAAAGTTTGAATATTTGTCATGGTAATGATTTTCTTTAAACGAAGCAATTATAATAGAATTATTATCTTTTAAATGGCTTTACTGAAGAAACTAGAAGATTTAGCTATAGGAACAAGATACATATATCTTTGAAATTAAATTATTTAAAGAAATTTTAATTATTTGGGTTTCGATTTTTTAAATAATATACATAGGCTTGAATTTAAAATATCAATAATTTGAACAATTTTATATCAATCAGATATAATTATTTCTTCTTATCTCCCTGTTTGATATCCAATCAGTTATAAACCAAATTTTAGCTTTCATTAGCCGAATTTATGATTTAACCAATGCTTATTCAAAATCATGTTTTTCTCAGTTTTACACATGTTTTATTTTTTATCTCGAAAACTATTATTGTGATTCGTATAGGTTAATACAGGGTGTCCCAGAAATAAGTGCAAGTATTTTAAGTTTAAGTGGTGGTAGATCTCGATAAAAGAAACATATTTTCTCTGTATCGTTTTTCAAATTAGTCCAAAATAACGGAGTTATTTTACTTTGAAAATTTCCAAAAAAAATAAATGATTTTTTGCTAATATGTATTTTGAGAACCACTGGATCTTTTCTGGATTTTCTTTCTTGTAAATTTAATCTAATACCTATGTTGCCAAATTATTAAGAAATTATGAATTGAAACATGAACATGAAACATATCGAATTTTTAAAAAATAATTTTCACGAAAAAAAAACGAAATAGGTGTGTTTCTAGGGTTAAACTATACTATACCAGTTAAAATACTTGACTTATTTCTGGGACTCAATGTATAATAGAAAAATTTTGATATATGGAAGTAGTTTCGAAAAATATAATAATATACTGTGTGTTTCATTTAAAATAACAACGATATATACTACCACTTTTAGTATGAAGCGGCAACAAAAGTAACGCTGAAAATAATTTAGACAGGTGGAGCAGGTGCCTTTATGCAAGAATTCAAATTTTCAAAAAAGTCTCTATCAAAGGTGTTCTATAAACATGTAACGTGCCATGGCCATGAATCACCCTGGTCTGTTCGAGAGTTCCATATTTCAAGTTTTTGATGTCTTACAATTATTAATAAGTATAAGATAAGACACACATATTGATCAAATGCTGTTATTATATGTGTTATTATGTCTCCATTTATTAATATCACTGGATATATTGAAATATATTAACTCATATCTTAAAATTATGTAAAGTGATGTGAAATTAAGCCTAAAAAGGAATAAATATGCAGGGTGTTCCATATAAAAAAATCATCCCGATATACACTCACACTTTTTTGTGCCACCCTATAGAAGTTAGAATGAGGCGTCAAGTTGCAAAACCCGCCTTATTTCAAAAACGTTGTTTCGAGATAATATGCAAAAACTGTTTTAGCAAATGCTTGAAACGATATTTTACAAAAAAACTTGTCCATTAAGTGGAATCATTGTTTTGTATCTCGTGTTTCTAGGAATAAAAATTAATATTTAATTTTTCAAGAGAAAAAAACATAAAAAAATACCGTATGATCGAATAAAAACGGCGTCAGCGATGGCTATGAAATGACGATCGATGACATTTTCCATATAATTTTACATATAAGATGACAGCGATCTTCATTTCATAGCCATCGCTGACGCCGTTTTTATTCGATCATAAGGTATAAGTGGATAAGACGGATTTTCCTGCAGTAACGTAATTTGTAGTGAATTTTATATA